TGATCACCAGATAGTCGCCGGCGCCCACCAGACCGTCGGGCAGGAAACCCACGGATCTGGTGGTGTGATCGGCGCGACCGTCGGCCACGGCTGTCGAGTTGGCACAGGAGGTGGAGTTGACGTCCCAGATGTAAGTGCCCACGAATGACGAGTTGTGAAAACACCTGACGTCGGGTGTGTCCTGAAGAATGGCCGACCCGTACGCCTGAATCCAGCCCTGGAGCTGATCCATGAACTTGCACTCACACGACCACAGATTGTTGGACAGGTATAGACGGCTGAGGCGTGTGTTGTGGCCGAACGACACCGTTTGAAACACGACGAGCGCGTTGTACTCCAGATGAAGCACTTGCAGTGACTTCAGATGGATAAATGTCTGGTTGTTGATGGTGTGGATCCGATTGTGGTGAAGATGCAACTCTCGGAGGGCGTAGAGGGGGGCGAACTCGTAGCCATTCAACGCTGTCAACTGATTGTACTCCAGATGAATGACCTCGAGGTTCACCAAACCGTTGAACGTGTTGTTGCCGACGGAGTGGACATTACTGTGATTGAGATACAATTGGCGCATATTCTTGCGGCCGATGAACGTATGGCTGCCGAGTGTGTAGATATCGTTGCCGTCCAAATACAGGGCCGTCACATCCATGGGCAGCCGCGTGGGCACCGATTGGTAGCCTTTGGCCGAACAGTCGACCACGTTCGTGGACCAGGTCTGGTCGTAGTAGCACGAGCAATTGTCCGGACACGTCATTTCGCAGTCGCACGCGTCAAACTCGCAACAATGGCACAGGGCGAAACAGTGGGACTTGTAGGGGCACAGGAATTGGCTCGAATTGGCCCTGGTCAGTTGCACGGTGGGCTGTTGTTTGGCAAATGTTAACTGACACTCAATAAGAGACGGATCCCGTATTTGCTGTAAATCCACACTTTGATTGTTTTGCGATACACACAACACATGACAAACACCACGGCTATCAACACCGCCGCTATTAAGATGATCACCAGATAGTCGCCGGCGCCCACCAGACCGTCGGGCAGGAAACCCACGGATCTGGTGGTGTGATCGGCGCGACCGTCGGCCACGGCTGTCGAGTTGGCACAGGAGGTGGAGTTGACGTCCCAAATATAAGTGCCCACGAATGACGAGTTGTGAAAACACCTGACATCGGGTGTGTCCTGAAGAATGGCCGACCCGTAGGCCTGAATCCAGCCCTGGAGCTGATCCATGAACTTGCACTCACACGACCACAGATTGTTGGACAGGTATAGACGGCTGAGGCGTGTGTTGTGGCCGAATGACACCGTTTGAAACACGACGAGCGCGTTGTACTCCAGATGAAGCACTTGCAGTGACTTCAGATGGATGAATGTCTGGTTGTTGATGGTGTGGATCCGATTGTGATGAAGATGCAACTCTCGGAGGGCGTAGAGGGGGGCGAACTCGTAGCCGTTCAACGCTGTCAACTGATTGTACTCCAGATGAATGACCTCGAGGTTCACCAAACCGTTGAACGTGTTGTTGCCGACGGAGTGGACATTACTGTGATTGAGATACAATTGTCGCATATTCTTGCGGCCGATGAACGTATGGCTGCCGAGTGTGTAGATATCGTTGCCGTCCAAATACAGCGCCGTCACATCCATGGGCAGCCGCGTGGGCACCGATTGGTAGCCTTTGGCCGAACAGTCGACCACGTTGGTGGACCAGGTCTGGTCGTAGTAGCACGAGCAATTGTCCGGACAGGTCATTTCGCAGTCACAGGCGTCAAACTCGCAACAATGGCACAGGGCGAAACAGTGGGACTTGTAGGGGCACAGGAATTGGCTCGAATTGGCCCTGGTCAGTTGCACGGTGGGCTGTTGTTTGGCAAATGTTAACTGACACTCAATCTGTTGGACGTCAACCATACGCGGGTATTGGCGCGACTCGTCCAGAGTGGCCACCCTCTGGAGCCACTCCATCGTACAGTCGCACAGATAGGGATTAGCGCCGACACTAAACTCGGGCAGAGGGCGCCGGAGCGGCACTTTACTTAGTCTAAAAGCGTTTATATCCAACGTCGACATGCGATTACTGGTGAGATCAGCTCTGGTGAGGTTCTGCTTCTCCATGAAGGTGAACGGAGCGATCTTTCGGATGTGATTACTGTTGAGAAGTATACTCTCGATGCCGTTGGGCAGCGCCGAGGCGTCAATCTCGCCGATACGGTTGACACTGGCGTCCAGTGTTCGCAGTTTGAGCACCGATTCCAACTCGAAGTAGTTCCCAAGACTGTCGATCTGATTCTCGTGAATGTCCAGCCATTGGAGGCCAATCGGGATCAGCGCGTAGTCAAACCAACCGATCTTATTCACCGATATGTTGAGCATCAATAGGTCGCGGAGGTTACTGAACAGGCCGTTGATGTCCACAATGTAATTGCTGTCCAGACGCAGGGCGTGGAGGTCGGGCACGTCGTCAAAAGTACCCTGCTCGATGCCCTGGATCTTATTTTTGGCCAAATTCAGTATTCGCAACGACGGCAGGTCTTGGAAGACACCCTTCGAGAGGTTACCGATTTGGTTGGCCTCCAGATTGAGACCGTAGAGCTGACCCACACCGCGATAGGAGGCGTTGTCGATCTCGACGATCCGGTTGTAGGACAGGTCCAGCGAACGCAAGAACTGTACGGTATTGATGGCCGCGGGAACCGCTTCCAGACGATTGGTCGACACATTCAACTCCATTAGATTCGTGATGTTTTTGAAGGCCTGCGGGTGAATGAAGTCCAACTTATTGCTGTCGATGGCCAGTGTGTTGAGCACATGGAGGCCCGATAGGGACAGCGAGTCCACTCGTGTCAGCCGATTGTGGCTGAGGACTAGTGTGTGAAGATTGTAGAGCGACTGGAAGGCGGTGTCGGCGATGGTCTCGATCTCGTTGTGATGGAGTTGAAGCACTTCCAGCGAGTATTGGCTGCGGAAGGTCTGGGCGTCGATACGGCTGAGGCGATTGAACGCCAAGTCAAGTGTCACCAAACGGATCAGATCGGCGAACGTGTCGGTGCCGATCCAGTGGGAAGTGATCTCGTTGTGACTTAGATCCAGCAGCACCATTTGACCAAGGGCGTTGAAAAGGCCCGGCGGCAGCACCGATACGCTATTGTTCTGGAGGTACAGCTCTGTGAGGCTGGTGCTGACCGACTGAAAGAACTTGGGCGGCAGCGCCACCAACTGGTTGTTGGACATGTCCAACACTGTCAGCGCCGACAGACCGGCCAGCGATGTCTCTTCGGCCCGAGAGATCTGATTGTGATGCAGTGTCAGCGCCTGGAGTCGGCCCAGAAGGCCGAACCCCCGGTCGGTCAACACTTTGATCCGGTTGTACGACAGATCCAATTGTGTGATTGAGTCGAGTTTGCACTGCGACTGTTGTCTGTCCTTATTCTTGGACGAAAAGCCCAAACTGATCACCTCTTGGAACTGATTGGTCGACAAATTGGCGAACGACAGCTCCGGGAGGTTACAGAAGAGCGACTCCGGCAGCCAAGCGATGGCATTTGTCGACAGATCCACTCTCTGAACGCGCGGCACCGGTGTTAACAGCCCTCCGGCGGGCACCCGGAGCTGTTGGTCACCCCATTGGGTGTTTTGGGTGCGAATGGTCAAATTTCGCAACTGACCAAGGCCGTGCAGGGTGAGCAGGGGCAGTTCGGCCAGCTTGCACCGGTCCACCGTCAACTCCCGTAGTTGACCCAGGTGCTGAAACGACCGATTGGCCAAGGAACTTTCAAACAGTATATCATCACATATAACATGGAGACCAGTGGTCCGCTGGCCCTGTATTAGACTAAAGTTGGTGCTGTCAAACGCACCGTTCACTGTCCGCAGTTTACACGTTAACAGTACACTATCACCGCCGGCAACTGTCGACCCGTCCACAGCTGTCATCGGTCGCCAATCACAGTCTTCGGGCGCCACATAGCGGGCCGACTCGACTACCGTCGGCCAGTATTGGCCGGCGATTAATAGCGCCAATAGTTGTGTGATAATTGTGGTGGTGATGGCCGGCACCGATGGCCCGGCTATTAGTTGTTTGCACCGCATATTTGCTGTTGAATTATGTTTTGGTTTT